CATAAAAAATATTTAAAAAATTTTAGTTCTAAGAAATCTTTTTTTGAAGGCATAAACATTTTAATATCGCTTAAAATTTTATAAAAAGCCAATAAATAAAGACAATAAATTTGTAAAAAGACATTAATTTAAGAATTTACTATGCTTTCATGGTTCAACATCCTAATTCGCCGGTTCATATCACGTGACCCCAAGCGATCTCATCTCATGTAAACTATTCTACAAAAATCTAATGCTCTCAGTAATTAAGTTAAATCTTAATTTCAAGTTAAATCTTAATTTGGAACACAAGTTTAAATGCAAGAAATATTTCAATGCGTACGAATAGCTTACTCAGAAATTATGTAAAACTGCAGTGCTTTACTTCACTAATGCATTCTTATTAGAATTGATGAATTTAACCCTTGACTTTCCTTTTCTATATTTTAGGCTTCGGGTAAGCGTTGTGATTGCATCCTAATTGACTTAATTATCGAAAATGGCCTTAGACATAAAACTGAACTATCTGATAAAAATTCTATGTAATTATATGCCAGTATTGAAATAAACAATCAATCTGATAAGAAAAAGCTGCGACTTGTTTTGAAAATGAGGCGTAAAAGGTTACCAGCGAGAATATTCCGTTTGGCATCGGTTGTACCATTATTGGCGACTTTATCGCTTGCGCCAGCAAAACGGAAAAGTACCATTGAGGAATTTTTATCTTTGCTCCATCATCTTATAGATAAAGAAATAATGTTTTAAATAAAATTTTCTGCTGTGAAATTCTGCTTTTACCGATGGTTTCAAAATTCCCAGCAGTTGAAAGAGCCATTGAAATATGAGATGACTTGCTACTATACGTTAAAAAAGTTGAAATGGGGCAGTTTAAAAAAAAGTCATTGAAATCCTTCTCAAATATTTTGGAGGCAACTAAGGATAAAACATTTCTTATAAAATTAAATTTTTTTCTCTCTCTGTCGAAAATATTATTGCCTTTCCTTGAATATTATCAAAGTGATAAACCACTTATTCCCTTTTTTGCTGAAGATATCTTAAAACTTGGTAAATGATTGCTTTTAGCACTTTAAAATTTTGAAACTAGAATATTCAAAAATAATTAAAGCAGAAAATCTTTATAAATTTAATTTTAATGATCCAAATTGTTATAATGATAAAAGTAAAGTTTATTTGGGATTCATTGCTGAGCAGTTAAGGAATGATAAATGCCGCAAGAAGGACATTTCACAAGCTGCAAGTTTTGCATTGAAACAAGAAGGTCAACAATGTGTCTTAACAATGGTACAACACTTAATGGCGAAATGTCCAATAAATTATTCTCTTTTTCGAAATGCATCTTGTATAGACCCACAATTGTGTGGAGCAATTCATAACGGAGGCGATGAGGCTGTACAACTCCGACGTTAGTTTCCCTCTCACCCCCACTAACTGTGATTGGACTTGATCCAAAAAAAAAAAAAAAAAAAAAAAAAAAAAAAAAAAGAGAGAAACATTCTCTCCTTGTATGACTAACGCGAGACAGACAGTAAACAACGCTTGTAATCATCGCTATAATTTTTTTCTTCATATACCTAATAAATATGTTATTTTGTGTTTGCTAATACAATGATCGTGTTCCTTACCTCCGCAGCTTGGATTACACTTTATTAAGGTAAGAACATTAATTCTATTTTGTTCATCTGCTCGTCTCGATTTAGCGAAGTTGTAACAGTAAACAAAAATGAACCATGAATACCTTCAACAAGTTGATGGCTAAAAGTCCAGAAAAAGCCCAGAACAAAATGAAAATAGTTCTAATCGTATTAACGTGGAATAAACATGTTTTACAAGATAATTGTGATGAAATTCTGCTGCAGTTTGTAGAGATTCTAGACAAAGTAGTTAAGAGAAATTTACATGAATTTTCTACTTTTGATTCTCAAAATCTTTCTCTTGACACATTTCTCACTTCTTATTTTCATGATTTCCACTATTCTAAAGTATGGAAAATAGTGAAAATGATTCTTATCTTGTCACATGGACAGGCCTTTGTGGAAAGGGGCTTCTCTATAAATAAAGCAGTTGAAATTGAAAATTTAAGTGACTCATCATACATTTCTCAACGTACAGTATTTGATTACATAAAATTTTCTGGAGGTATTCTTAATATCGAAATTAATAAAGAAATGAGATCAGCAGCAGCTTCGGTAGATGCTTTCAGCAGATGAAGCCGAGACGAGCAGGAACATTGATTTGTTTATTAAAACATATAAACTTAGAAGAATAGTTAAAGAAAAGGAAATAAACATAAATAAATTAGATGTTAAAATATCTGAAAAAATTTCAGATTTTAAAAAAGTATAAATGTTTTGTATCTTTTTGCATAGTTATTATAGTATCTTTCAAAAACCAAAGAAATAAATTGTATGTTTGCAAATCTGTTATTTTAATCTGAAAAATATCTTACATTGCAATTATAATAGTAGTTGATGTTTAAATAAATATCAAATAAGTTAAATAATAATCATGTAAATCTCTAAAATATATGTGGCTGTTATTAGTGAAATACACTTATACAAGTTTTTCAAGAAATTATGTTCTTAATTTAATGTTATCTTCTTCATAACTTGTAGGGAGTTAGTTTAATTTTTAAAATTGTTTTATGTTAAGTATTAAATTGAATTTAATAACAATGCATAATACACACTTCTGTTAGTTTCTTAAATGGGTAATTGCTTTATTCTTTTTTTTTTTTTTTTCTGATAGGTCCTTAATTTTTTCTTTGATGGTCCTTAAAAGTCCTTAATTTTCATGTAAGGAAATGTGTACGAACCCTGTAAAAATTCAAAACACATAGAAGTTCAATATCATTATGTTCACGAAAATGTTCAAAATGGAGTAATTGAAATTGTAAAGATTGATTCAGAATCAAATATTGCAGATATCTTTACTAATTCTTTAGGAAAGATTTAAATTTATGGAACTCAGAGAAGGTTTTTGAAATTGAAATATGAAATTTGATACTGTTTAGTTAAGTGATTGTTTTAAATATTTTTGCTTCAAAATAAGTTTGGTAATGTCCTTATGTTAATTAAATGTGTTTTTTTAACATTTTAATTTAATGAAATGAAACCTTTTTTTTAAAATAATGTTGTTAATGTTATTGCTTATATCTATATTTAATTGTAAATGGTAAAGATGAAAAGGTTGCTTATATGTATGTTTATTTGTAATTAGTAAATATAAATGTAAGGAGGCGTGTTAGTTCGGTACATTTATATTTACCATATTGGCAACATGAAGTTTCTCTCTCTGCGTGCGAGCTATGGATACCATTGTAATGTTGTGCACGTGTTGTTAAGTTTAAATAAAAAATGTGAAAAGATACATTTCTTATTTTTCGACTTGCTTCTTCATATGATATCGATTTATTTAACAAGCATTCTTACATGTGCCTTGGAATATCTTTTACTGTCTGCCACTTGTCTGTTCTCGCCAGTAAAATAATGTATTGATTGTCCAGGCTGTCGTTGTTGCTCGTGGATAACCACTGCTGAATGTTTGAACAGCTATTCCTGCTTTTTGAAATGCTCTCAAGTCTCATGAAATGATGGTATGAGCAATCCTGTACTGCTCTGCTACACTTGTCACACACTTTAATTGTCTTCCAAGTACCCAGTGACATCATGGGATTAAGCCAATTTGTTTTGCAAACTCTCATGTTCTTTAATAAGATGGAAACTTTTTTTTTACTTACTTCTTCTGTTACTTACTTTTTAATGCTTGGAACACATCCTCTTTATAATATTCAAAAATTCCAGTTTAAGATCTTTATTAAAAATATTAAACTTTTTTTATTTTACCTCTTTCACCATTTGGTACATAAAGCTCAAAAGTCTTTGCTTTAAAAATCAAATTAGATATCACATTTTTTACCTAATATTTTCACCAATTTACAATAGAACATTTATTGCAGAAGTTTGACGAAATAGCTACCAGTTTTTAAATCTGTCTACTAAATCCTTCCTACTTTTCTGATTTGTTGTTTTCGACAGTTTATTTGCGAAATTCAATCAGTTCAACTTGGTTAAGTCTAATTTAGCTTTTGTTGGCAACTTTGGCAGATTAACAATTTATAAGAAGGATTCAGTATGTGAAGTTTGTGATTCTGTGAACATTAAAAACATTTTCTACTTCTCTTTTCCTCATTTTTTAAATTTAAGTTTTAGGCAATGCCTCTTCATAATGTTAATAAATTAATGTTTGACTATTTATTAAATAATGTAATTTTATTGTCTTAATTTTTGTTTTTATATGGTGTTTGAATTACTAGATTTAGAAATTCAGTAATGTTTTTTTTATTTCATCAATTTTTGTTTGTAAAGGAAAAGACCATTTTGAGGATAGCATTGAGTAAAATAGTCATACATTATATGATATTGACATTTTATGCTAAAGATTTCTGAACTATGGTTCAAATTCATTTAAATATTATGATCATTAATTAATTTATGTATTGACTATTTATGCTAAAGATTCCTTTTCAACTATTTTCATAATTCAATTTCATAATAATGTTAAAAAAAAAAAAAAAAAAAAAAGGTCCTTTAATTTTAATTAAATCTTCCTCCTAGAAAAATAGCGTGACTGAATCAATCTTAAATTTTTGTATTTGTGCATTTGTTGCTTAATTATTAGCGACTTTGATTTTTATTGTATATTTTACTTTTTACAGTTAATTTTATATGATTAACAATTTAAACGTGTTTTGTAGTTTACTTGGTTAATTAATGAGGAATTTAAAAATTAAAAAATATTTATAGTATTTATTATTGGGTTTTGTGTCTGTATCTATTTCAGTGTCTCTAACTATTAAATTTTATGAATTGTATCAGCAGCCCAGAGCAATTAGTTAAATGCAGATTGGACTGAATTTAAATTTATATCAAATTGTTTTGTCAGATTTCACTAACTTTAGAAGCAGTGTGTACATTTCTTTAGGTCTGTATTTCCTTTTTAAGGAGCGTATCGTACTCATGAATGAACATTGGGTTGTATTAGTCCCTTATTGGGCTATTTGGCCATATGAAACCATGCTGTTGCCACTTCGCCATGTGCTTAGATTGCCTGATCTCTCTGCTGATGAAAAATATTGTGAGTATCTGTAATACTTGTATATCAATTGTAAGTTTTAAAAATTAACCTTAAGAGAAAAGAATATTTTATATTTATTGACTAAAGAAATATAAAAAATCTTTCAATTTGTGGTCATCAGAAACAGACAGGCATACAGTAAGTACATCATACACTATGCAAAAAAAAAGGGGGTACAGTTCTATATCTCCCATTCTACTGGGCCGATTGACGAAAAAAGTGCGATTTAGGATATGTATTAGATTTATATATAGCGTTGTTTTAACATAGGTATTTTGACACAAAAGCGGACTTTTTCTCGGATCCATTTTTTCACTAGTGAGCACTTGACCAATTACGGGTGTGGTGCAATGTTAAAGCAGCAGTGACAAACAGACTGTCACTTGTTGGCTGCTGACCATCTGACCATGTGTGGGGACTCACTTGCTCAGCTTTGATACCTTCCCTATATGCTGACTTTTCCGTCAGAACCCTGAACTCATTTACCAAGTTCACCACATGTTTCATTGTAGCAGTGGGCAGAACCTGATAGTATTTGTTTATAAAGCATAATTTTAAGTTTTAATATTTTGGCAACATTGATATTAAATTGTAAAAAGAATGAGTTAAAAATGTATCTGGAAGAGAGAGTTTTTTCATTATGATGGTTTGGTAGAATGTGGTAAGATTTCTTATGTCTGATTTTCTTTAATAAAGTTTTCTTTTTGTATATTGCCATAATGTATTTTTTGTTAGAAGTGGATGATTCTTTTGAGAATGTTATATATATGCCAATCTTAAATAACCAACATTTGGTATCAGAGCGTGGTTGCCCCTTCTGTTAATAAACTTTCAGATAGAACATTGATGTTGTTTAGGCTTAACAAAATAGCCAATTTCTCTAAGAGATAAATTAGATTTGTATTATAATTAGTGAATATAAATTAGAAAATATGGCATATAATATGATAAATTTGAGTCATATAGAAAAATTAAGTGACGATAATTATCTTATTTGGGCCAACAGAGTTGAAAGTGAATTAAGAAGTTTAAAGATATGGAGAAGTGTGATAGAAGCTGATGAACCACCAAAACCATATAAAAAAGATGATGTTAATTTCAAAAATGAAATAAAAACTTGGGAAATATGGGATGATAATAACACGATAGCAAGAAATATAATGAATCAAACTATGACAGCTCCACAAGCGTTAAAATATGTGAATGAAAAGAACGCAAAGAAGTTATGGGAGAAAATCAAAAATGAAATGGCAGCAATAACAGAAGATATTCAAATCAAATGCAGAATAGAATTAGCTCAACTGAAAATGAGTCAAAATGAATCAGTAGATGATTATATGAATAGAGCTGTTATTCTGAAAAGTAAAAGTATTCAAGTTGGAGATGAAATAAGAGATAAAGAATTAATTTACTTCATACTAGAAGCACTTAGAAAGGAATTTGATGTTAAAGTTATTAAAAGCAATAAAGAGAAAGATCTAGCTTCAATTAGACAAGCTTTAAAAGAAACAGAAGGAAAAAATAAACAAAGAGGAAAAGAAATAGAAGTAAGTTCTAAGGCAAAAGAAAACTGGATAAAATCGAAATATGAAAGAAGATGCTTTAATTGTAGAAAATTAGGACATTTAATAAAAGAATGTCGAAATAATAATAATAGTATAAAGTGCTTTTGCTGTGGAAAATTCGGCCACAAATCAACTGAATGCAAAATGAAAACTAAACAAAAACGCCGACAGCAGAGAAATGCAACAAATAAAACTTATAGAATGTCAAGCATGGAAAGAGAATATGAATCAGCTACATGCTTATTTGAAGTATCTAAGAAAATAGAAAGCTCATATCTTAATCAAGATAGAAATGATGGAAAGAATAAAATGAATAAACAAGAGAATAGAAAAATTAAATGGATTATTAATTCAGGAGCCACATCTCACATGGCAACTAATAAAGAAATATTTACTAATTTTAAAGATGAAGAATGACAAATAATGACGGCTGAAAAAGGGGCCATGATCAAATCAGTTGGTATTGGTAACATTAAAATGCAAACTGATAGAAATAAGAACATCTTGAGAGTAGAAAATGTTCTGCAAGTACCGAATTTAAGTGAAAATCTGCTGTCAGTATCAAAAATTGTAGATCATGATTTAAAAGTAATTTTTACCAAAAATAAAGCAGAAGTGATCAATGAACATGGAACATTCTATATATAGCTAACAGAAATGGAAATAAATTTGAAGTTGAAGGAAATATTGTTGAAGAAGCTAAAATTAATTATGTTAATGATGTACTATGGCATCAGAGACTAGGTCATATAAATTATCAAAGGCTCATAGAAATGAAAAAACACTCATCGGTCATTAGATTAGAAAATGTAAAAATTTCTGAAAACAATTGTGAACCTTGTACATTAGGTAAAATAACACGAACATCTTATAAAAGTGTGAAATTTAAGCAGTCTGAAGAATTATGGCACATAGATTTAGTTGGACCAATTGAGAAATCAATAGATGGAAGTTGTTATTTTTTAACAGTGGTAGGTGATTACAGTAATTTCATATTTGTGATAACAATTGAGAAGAAGAGTGAAACTTCAGAAGCTCTAATCAAACTTATCATTCAAGAAGAAAGACAAACAGGAAAGAAACTAAAAAGAATTCGTAGTGATAATGGTAGTGAGTTTTTAGCTAAAAATATAAAAGAGTTTTTTGAAAAAATGGGAATTAAACATGAACTTACAACCCCTTATACTCCGGAAAGTAATGGAAAAGCTGAACGTTTTAATCGCACTATAATTGAATCTGCTAGAACTATGTTAATTGATGCAGAATTACCGATAAAATTTTGGTCTGAAAGCGTTAAAGTAGCTGTACATGTGAATAACAGGAGTCACAAAAATGATAAAAGGTTTACACCATATGAACTATATAAAGGACGCAAGCCTAACATTATTTATCTTAAAAGATTTGGATGTGAAGCATATGTTCATATAAGATGAGAAAACGAGAAAAACGTAAAGAAGATGGATCTAAAAGCTAAAAAAGGAATTATGATAGGCTATAGCATGAAGAGAAAAGCATACAAAATTTATATCCCTGAACTAAAAAATTTCAAGAAGTGAGAGATGTAAAATTTGATGAACAGAAACTCGGATCACCTTTACTAAAAGAAAATTATTTAAATTTCGATAAAAATCAAATATTAGAAGAACTTATTATTTTTTATAAGGAACAAACTAATGGAAATGTAAATAATTCAGAAATAACTAACAGATACTATAGAGAAGATAATACAACAGATGAAGAAGCTGAGAAAATTTTGCCATCCAATAGTGATGATGAACACGATGATAACAATTCATTGGAAAAGCCAACTGAGTATCCGCAAATAAATGAAGAACCTGGAAATGATAATCATGGAAATCCTGTACAGAAAAGACCAGCGCGAATTACGAAGCCCCCAGAAAAATTAAAAGATTATGTAGTATACAATACAAATGAAGGATTACCTAAGACGTATGATGAAGCTATAGAATCTGCTGAAAGTGAATTCTGGCTACAAGCAATGACAGAAGAACTGAGTTCAGTGGAGGCTAATGAACTGGGAATTAGTTGAAAGACCCATCGATAAGAAAGTTATTAAAAACCGCTGGATATTCTCAAAAAGGGATGAAAAGGGTAATTTAGAAACAATTTACAAAGCAAGACTAGTAGCGACCGGATTTAATCAAAGAAAAGGAATTGATTATGAAGATGGATTTAGCCCAGTAATGAGACTTGCAACCTTTAGAACATTACTATCGATTGCAGTTTACAAAAACTACAAAATACGATTTTTTGATGTAAAAACTGCATATTTAAATGGATACTTGGATAAACCAATTTACACGGAACAACCACCTGACTTTATATCAGATCCGAACAAAGTATATCTTGTAAACAAAAGTATATATGGATTACCACAATCAGGAAAATGCTGGTATGATGAATTATGTAAAGTTCTTAAAGAAAAAAATTTAACGAGATTAAAGTCAGATCCGTGTGTTTATATTTATAAAGATAAGATCAAATATTTTATCATAGCAGTATATGTGGATGACTTAATGGTGATTGGAAATTCAAATTCTGAGATAAATGACATCATCTCTCAACTATCTAAATCGTTCACGTTACGAGAAGTCACTCAAACTCAAAAATTTTTAGGAATAGACATCCGGCAAGAATCTGGAAAACTTATACTCAGTCAAGAAAACTATGTAACTAAAATCTTAAAAAACTTTGAAATGGATGAATGTAAACCTATCAAGACTCCAGGAATATTGGGTGAAAATCTTGATGACATAGCATCTTCACCACCTGTGTCGAAGACAAAATATCAAGAAGCATTAGGTTCATTAATATACTTAGCAACAGGCACAAGGCCAGACTTAGCTTTTGCAGTAAGTAATTTGTCAAGATATAATCAAGATCCCAGAGAGAAACACTGGAAAGCTGTAAAGAGGATATTTAGATATAATAAAGGAACACAAAATACTTGTTTAGTGTATACTTCAGACAATGGGAAATTAAATGCTACATCAGATGCAAGTTGGTGTACAACTGAAGATGGAAAATCATTTGGAGGTTTTTTCATTAAATTAGGCAAAAATTTCATAAATTGGAAGCGCAACAAACAAAGAATAGTTGCTCTATCTACAATGGAAGCTGAACTTTTAGCACTCTGCGAATGTGCCTGTGAAGTTAAATGGTACATCTTTTTACTTGAAGAATTGGGTCAAGATGATCTAATTGACAAACCAATAGGAATTAAAACAGATTGTCAAGCATTAATAGATTGGATTAAAAAACCAAAACAAAGTAGCAGTTCAAGGCACATTAATAGAAAATATTTCTTTGTTAAGGATGAATATGAAATGAATCAAATCATTCCTCAGTTTGTGTGTTCACAAAATCAAGAAGCGGACATTTTAACAAAGTATCTACCTAGGGTGAAATTAAAAG